ACACCTATGCAAAGCCATAATCTCAAAGGATTGATCGCATGAGGATGCTGCCAAACTATCAACCACCAAAGTTCCAACAGTTTGATGGTAAAGGAAATCCTTGTCAGCATGTTGCACACTTCATAAAAACTTGTAACAATGCTGGTACTTCTAGTGATCTTATGGTGAAGCAGTTTGTTCCCTTTTAAAGGGCAATGCCTTTGATTGGTATACAAACTTAGAGCCTGGGATGATTGATAATTAGAAGCAATTAGAACGTGAGTTCCTTAATCGCTTCTATAGCACTCGACGTGTGGTGAGCATGATTGAACTCACAAGTTCGCGTCAATGGAAAGATGAGCCTGTAATTGATTATATCCATAGGTGGAGAAATCTCAGTCTCAATTACAAAAAGCGATTATCCAAATCCTCAGCACATGTGCATCCAAGGGATGAAGTGGGGATTACGCTATATTTTTCAAGGCATTAAGCCTAAAACTTTCGAAGAATTAACTACTCGCGCTCATGACATGGAATTAAGCATGTCAGTGGCTGGAAATCAGGGACCTCCAGTGCAAGAACCAAGGAAGGGTAAGCAAGATGTCCGTAAAGGGGGCAAAGCTTTGGCAGATAAGGGTGAAGAGTTGTGCAACAGACTTCTGCAGTTTATAGCTGCCTGCTGCTTCAAGAAGTCTCTGGAGCTGTTGTCTATTTGAAGTCATGAAGCACTGCTGTGTGAGCTCGGTTTGAAGTTTGAGTATCCGCCTTTGGTCTTGGTGGTTGTGCAGCAGACTTCTGCTGTTGAGCACCCTATAGCTTCAAGAAGTCTTTGTAAGTCAAGAGGCACTGTTGTGCCAGCTTGAATTGAAGCTTTAGTGTTCTCCTTTACATTGGAAACTATCGATTGATAATTAATTAAAATTATCAAAGAAAATGTACAACACAGAAGTTATGGAACGACTCAAGTCTTCAAAAGATTTAAATACTTAATTGTGATATAAAGGCCTATTTCTTGTAAGTACTGTAGACTCCGAGGGCCATATTGGCCTCGGCTTTGAAGGCCCTTGAAATTATCAGTCCTACCATCCAAGTCAATGTGTTCAAAATCCTATCTCCCTCGATTGACAGATCAGTCTGCACCGCCTGCTGTTAGCCTCATTCCATTGGCATTGAAGAATTGAACTAGCTAGCTACATTTGGTTATGTATGTTCCACTTTGTTTACTAAACAATTAAGCCTCTATGTATGTTGCTTTTGTTAAGTGATGAAAGATAACTCAATGTCTTAATTATGAATTAGGAGTAATTAAAAAACTTTGCAAATATTTCAAATTGGTGGAATATTTTGGAAAGTAACTTCACTTGATAAGTATGAAGTAGATAAATCCAAAAAGAGCATAACTCCTAAGTCGAAGTTGATGTGATTAGAGTGTGCTTTAATATTTGTCTCATTAAGATGGGAAAAAGCATCTGAAACCAATGGTCAAGTTAGAGGATAAGACAGGGTCGTAACAAAACTTTCCTTTATGCTTATTTAACTTTTTCATTTAGGTCTTGTTTGTGATTCCAAACCATATTAGACAACAGGACACTCTCTTGTAAAAACTCCCTATATATACAATAATTAATCTTTCCCTTGGATTATTGTAGCCTATTTGGTATAAATCCAAGCCAACCTTTGCGAATCCAACTTTTTAATTTTTTAACAACAAAGTCAGACAAGAAAGATTGGAGCTCCTAACCTCAAATTTTTCTTAGGAAAAAAGCACATAAAATATTTTCTTAATGTTTTACATTATATATATATATATAGGTGCTGGGATTCCATTGATAAAAAGCCAATTCCTATCATTGGATGGTCCCCAAGAATGCATTTATAATTAGAAATACTCCATGGTTGCTGTTCTACGGGGAATAAACAAGGACAAAAGAGGATAAGATAGAGAACACTGCTCCTACATATCAAATTGAGCTTTTAAGTCATCAAATATAGGAAAAATGGGGTGAGATTACAACAGAGACTCGTAGCACTTATTGTGTTGAAAAGAGGAAAAAAATTGGTAATTTTACATTATTAAACTGGGATCTCCTTCTCAAAGCATAAGATAATTCCCATTTTTATGATAAAAAAAATGATTAAGTGTTTTTGAAAATTCCTCATTATTTAAAAAAGAAAAGAAAGGTTACATTTTCTTCAAAAATTAATTTAATAAATTAAAGAAAGAGGCGTGGCAACCAAATAGTCAAACACCAATACTAAGCTATCAATCTATGGTGCATCCTCCACAAAAATAGCATTGAATATTTTTTGGTGTCCATTCTAGCATTGATCACCATCGCATTGAATATTGATTATCCCATACACATCGACATCATTTGACAAAAGGGGAGTAGGGTCCAAATTATCTAACCTTCGATAATTGGATTTATTCTTAGTGAACCAACCGCGTTTGATCCACCACAAACTCCTCAATCAAAGTGTTTTGTGGTTCAATTGATCTCTATTACCATTTACATATGTACCATCCACAATCAACAGAAAGAATTTCGACCTAACTCGCCTTTTGCATCTTGCTTCGTCGAGGAAAAAGTAGTTCTTTTGTGGACAGTAATAGGACAAGGCAGAGTTAGGGAAGTATCTCGACAAGCTAGCCGGCTTGTTACCATTGA